TCTCTCTCTCTCTCTCTCTCTCTCTCTCTCTCTCTCTCTCTCTCTCTCTCTCTCTCCATTCCATCTCTTTTCTATTTTACTAACATAATTGATCAAGATCGTCAGAAAACGTTGTAAGAATAAATAAATTAGCCCCAGCAAAACTGTCATGTAGATTAAAACGTTTAAAGTTGTGAAGATTCATCAAAACTCCTATCCCGCGTACTGGATGTCCGTCGGGGCGCTTTTGAAGATTTGGCCACCAGCTTCCTCCTCTCCTTCCTGTCTTCAGCTTTCCTGAGCGTGTCTTTGAGGTCCAGGCCTGTCCATTCCTTGATTTTGTCCTCCCAACTCTTCTTCTGTCTGCCTCTGCTCCTTTGTCCCTGGACGCTGCTTTGCAGGATCGTCTCGTGCAGAGCATTGACACACTTTATTTCTCCTTAATCTTCTCCTTATAACTTGCCAATGTGAGGTAATGAACGTGTAAAGACCCGAATATCACATCACATCTTCAGTGGCCTTTCGTTTAGATGCAAACAATATATTATTATTGCCCCTGATTTTTACGAATGTCACCGTTTTGTCTCTACTTAGTAGGACCCCATACTTTCAGGTAGCCACGTTTCGATTTTGATGGTACCTATATGGTTTTTATACTGGCTTGAATATTTTCAATTTTGGAAGGGATCCATTTTGAATTTTGTCCTGGTGGCGGCCGAAGCCTACTCATATCGATTGTAGGACCACCAAAGGATCTTTAACGGGCGCAACTTGCACAAGGGACCGCCGAGAATTTTTCGCCTTCATCCGAGAAGGGTAGGTGTTCAATCTTTCCAACTCTACCATCAGAGATGTGGCTGAAAGACAGCAGTAACAAGGAGCAGAAGAGTAGCATAACATGTAGATAAATCCAGGAGGGAAGATGGAGATGACCGAACATGTCCGGAGAACAGGAAAGGAGGTGAACGGAAAAAATGTTTCCGGAGCTGTCAGGTTTCGAACCTGGGACCTATTGCATGAAAGGCAAACACCGTACCTCTAAACCACGATAGTCTCCGCACTAAAGTTGAAAGAACTCAATTGGGTGTCTGTAAAGAGGTACTAATACGTTTGAAAGATCTAAAAACCCAACTGACCTTATTTCATCACATAACTTTTTTCCCTTAACCATATGCATAGAAGTCTACGCTCATCATTATCCGTATGACTTAGAGCATGCACCTGAATACTATTGAGTTCCAATCAAAATACTGAACGCGTATCCAGCTTAATATATATACTTTTTTACGGTTCATTTTTATCATGCATGGGACTATGAGTCTGTTTGTGAGTGCAAGTATAATACTATAATATCAATATTATGGTTTTGTACTCACATGTGTGTGGAAGAGAGAACGCACGAGGGAAAAGAGAGTGTGCATATGGGTGTACACATGTGCGTGCGTATTTGTGTGTGTGTGCATGTTTGTGCGTGTGTGTGTGTGTGTTTGTGGGTGTGTATGCGGAATACCTGAGAAAATTGTTAAACTTTTGAAGGATGGAACAAATTGCCATGAAGGACAACTCTCAGAACCATTCCAGATACAGAAGGGAGTGCGACAAGGATGCTTGTTCTCACCTTTTCTCTTCATACTGGCAATTGTCTTGGTTATGAAAAAAGTCACCAGAGGCAAACACAATTAAATACAGTGGACCCCTTGGTAGCAGCTGGGTGACTTGGACTTTGTCTATGACCTTGCTCTGCTCTCTCACATACATGCTTAGATGCAAGAAAAGACCAAGGAACTCAACAGCTTATCAAGGAGTATTGGCCTTCGTATACATCCGGGCAAGTCGAAAGTAGTGAAGCTAGGAAAAGCTTCAAGCCCTGCTGTGACAGTGGAAGACACTCCCCTTGAAGAAGTGGACTCCTTTATCTACCTTGGAAGTGTCATCGATAGTAAAGGTGGAACTGCGGCAGATGTAAAAGCAAGAACCGCCAAGGCAAGGTCAGCATTCAATCAGTAATCAAAGCAAACATCTCACTGCGCACCAAGATTCGACTCTTTTTTAACTCCAATGTCAAGTCTGTGCTCCTCTACGGCTGCGAAACTTGGAAGACAACAAAGACATTACTTAATAAAG